GCAAATCCAAAGCCATTGATTTTTATTTAGAACTGTGTGAAGCTCTAAATTTTATTTTCAACATTTATCTTTATTTTGAAAAGAGCAAGAACAAACATTTTAGCAGAATAGCATGAATTTATTCTTATTTCGTTGGTTCTCGTCAGCTGCTTACAGCCTGTGATATTTAAGATCATAATTACATAATGGGTTTAAATTACTTACATGAAAGAGTTTGATTGGAAGTTATATTAAAGACATATTCGTATAGTATAGCAAGGGTGTAAATAAATTTAATAGACTGAATATTGTAAATATATACCTTATGTAAAACTCAATGATGTGATAAGTGCAAGAAAGAGTTTAAATAAAAAGAAAAAAATACATATATTAAGATACAGCGAAGGAATATTAGTCACCAAGGCAAGGAAAGATTAATAAACATCTCCTTTTGAATACATAAATCAGGTTTTTGGCGTCTGATAGCAAAAGCTTCAGCAAACTTCAGAAGACTGGAGTTTGGCTGCTTACTAATCACCTTGAATGATTGCAGGGTATCGACCTGATGTCCTGTATCAAGAAGATGTTTGGTGATTGCACTATTTAGAGTCTTTCTCTATCTTCTTCTGTGGCGTTTTGGAACATGTTAAAAAAATCCGAGATATGCCCTCCTTTCTGTTCGACCAATGTAGCTGCTTTGGCAGGTACACGTAAATTTATAAATACAATTGGCGGTAACATGAAACGGATGCTTATCAACCTTTGATTGAGTTATTGAACATGTTGTTTTATACAGAATTAGAAGTTTGGCCGCCGGATAAGCTCTGGCTAGGGCGGTATTCAGTCTGCTGTTGATTGTGCTTGCAACATCATCACCTTTGAAGTTGAGATTTATAGTAATTGGTTTTTTATTGACCGTAATTACTTCAGTATTATTTTCTTTCTACTTTTTATATTTGTCAATAAACTTTTGTGGGTAAAAGTTGTCTCGTAGGCATTTTTTCACGTTCATCAATTCTTCTTCCAGTTTGTCAGTGGTACATATCCTTTCTGCCCTGTAAAATAGTGTTTTAACCAATAACTTCTTGTAACTAATTGGACAAAAACCATTAAAATTCGGGTAAAGGCCATTCCAAGTACTTTTTCGATAAAGTGAACGTTGGACTGTCCCGTCTCTCCTACGTTTTATAGTAACATCAAGAAAATGGAACATGTCATTCTGTTCGTTTTCCATAGTAAATTGTATGTTTGGATGAACGTTATTAAAGAGTTTTAGCAGGTGGGTTGCATGCTGTTTATTGTTACAGACAATAAACGTGTCATCAACAGGTCTGGAATATTCTGTCGTTCCGCTAATCGCCTGTTTAAGCACCATGTTTTCAAGATACCCATAAAAATATCTGCTAGGACTGGACCTAGTGGGATTCCCATTGCTACTCCATCGATTTGACGATATACGGTGTTATTAAACTGGAAATGAACGTCTGATGTGTACATTAATAGTAGTTTTTTGAATTCCGGGACTGGTAAAGGTAGATCATAATTCTGACAAATTATATCAATCGTTTCAAGAAGTGGTACATTGGTGAACAAGGATGTTACATCAAAAGCAACCATGAACTTGTCGGTAACATTCGTATGATTTAGTCTATCAGCAAACCGGAATGAATCTCTTAGCGTATATGTTCCTAATCTCCGACGGACCGGTTCTAGTTTTTCTGCTAGCCAGCGTGCAACTTTGTGATACGGTGAGTTGATCATTGATAGGATAGGTCTAAGGGGAACGTCGTGTTTGTGAACTTTCGGTAAACCATACATATGAGGTAGACGTGAGCGACGTGGTTTTAGATCAATATAAGTAGAATTACCAATCATTTTCCTTTTTAGAAGTTCTCTAAGCATGCCTGTGATTCGTTTTTCTGTTGAATCAGTTAAATCTTTTTTGAATTTATCTACCTCGAATCTCAGTTGATCGTCTAGGATTGGCTTCATCTTAGTGACATAATCAGCTGTATTCATGAGGACGACACCTGAACCTCAGAAGAAGATAAAGAAAGACTCTAAATAGTGCAATCACCAAACATCTTCTTGATACAGGACATCAGGTCGATACCCTGCAATCATTCAAGGTGATTAGTAAGCAGCCAAACTCCAGTCTTCTGAAGTTTGCTGAAGCTTTTGCTATCAGACGCCAAAAACCTGATTTATGTATTCAAAAGGAGATGTTTATTAATCTTTCCTTGCCTTGGTGACTAATATTCCTTCGCTGTATCTTAATATATGTATTTTTTTCTTTTTATTTAAACTCTTTCTTGCACTTATCACATCATTGAGTTTTACATAAGGTATATATTTACAATATTCAGTCTATTAAATTTATTTACACCCTTGCTATACTATACGAATATGTCTTTAATATAACTTCCAATCAAACTCTTTCATGTAAGTAATTTAAACCCATTATGTAATTATGATCTTAAATATCACAGGCTGTAAGCAGCTGACGAGAACCAACGAAATAAGAATAAATTCATGCTATTCTGCTAAAATGTTTGTTCTTGTTCTTTTCAAAATGATAAAGGGAACTATGTGTATGAAATTTATCTTTATCGTTCAGTAGAAAAACAACATATACATGTGGTGGCTACCTAGAAAGTTAACCAATTTGTTCAATATAGAGAAGTTTTAATTATAAGTAGGAGAAAGGCATTCATTGATGAAGTAAAATATTCATAATTAGAGTGAGTTGAATGAAGTCATTATGTTGATTACGATAATACTCAAGAAAATAGACTGGAGTATGTTACAACAGAAAATTATTTTAAGTGGTTATTACAAATAATAGTTTACCAGTATTATGCAACAACAACTCATCATGCTTCCAGTTAATAAAAGGTATGGGATTAATATTTAACATGATCTAGCTGTCTTAAATATTTCATAACTCACTCTTAATTGTGTAGAGATCATGGATCAACTAAGGCTTCGTATAGCCCAAGTCCACAAAGAATAGTCAACTAATTCATTGTAGCAGATAAGAATGTTGAGCATCCAAACAATAATTACTCGTTTTGGTATGCGTCATTATTCTGATGACTACATTACAAAGCCTTACTGTAGAAAAAAGGATGATTAACATGTGAAAATCTTCTGATACAAATCTGCTTTTATACACAATTTCAGCTGAAACATTTTAGTCAAAATGTAAGTATTGACGTAAATATTTCATCTGTAGATCAAAATGATATTTGTAATAAGTAAAACACAAAGGTAACATGCTAACTCTAAATAGCTTCTCTCCAAATTTTTTATTATAACATTTGGATGATTTCATAACTTGACAATATCTTTCTTACCTAGAAACATTAGTTCATCCAAGTCATTTGGGTCGATATATATGACCATCTGTGAATTGACTCCACGAAGTAGTACTTACATCATTAAGTATAGATTAGATTCAAACAATGTGGGAAGTGTAAGCTTCCTTAGTGAATATTACATATAATAGTTAAGCTATATAATAGTTTCTAAGTCTTTACATCATCACGGTTGTTCCAGAGGGAAATAAATATTCTCAGATAACCTACGTACCTGGTCAGTATTGTTGATAAACAAGGAGGATATTATACAGATGTGAAGGCATAATTTGGCAAAGTGAGAGCAGCATTTCTACAGTTAAGGAATGATTGAAACTTAACAGAAGTGTTATCCATAAACAAAATTAGAATTTACAACACCAATGTTGTACGGAGCTGAAACTTGGAGGACTACTACCACCATCACCAAGAATATACAGCTATACAGCTGTTTAGGTAATATACCCCACATCTACTGGCCAGAGACCATCAGCAATTACCCACTGTGACAGAGAACAAACCAGCTTCTATCTGAGGAGGAAATTGAGAAAAGACGCTGGTGTAAGATAGGATACACTATGTGAACATCATCAACCTGCATCATAATACAAACCTTAATTTGGAATTTTAAAGACGAAAGAGAAAGAAGTAGATCAAAGAACACATTGAAGAAAGTGTTTAAGGCAGATATAATAGGTAGAAAGGAGAGCCCAGAACAATAGGTGTTGGTAAGTATGTAATTAACCTACTTATAATGATTTCACACTGTTATTTGAACTGTTTCTTAGTATTTTGTTAATTTTGGTTATTAAATCTATTAATTAAACTAAGATATTTCTTCAGTAATCAATACTCAGGGATTTTCAACGTCTTGTACTCTGAAATAATCATTATATCTAAGATAAAAAAGAGGTTCTGAGATATCCATCAGTATGATTCAAAGATGTCATCAATGTAATCAAATTTTCATTTAATTAAATAATATGTTCTTATTAAACTGCTCAAAATTAATTTTGCTATGGATTTCCAAATTATAGTTTAAACAATTCTTAAATTTATTTCTAATCACCGCATAACACTCTAAACATCTTTATTCAAAGGTTTCATATTTTCAGTTCAACATGAGCATGAAAATGCAAGTATATATATATATATATATATATATATATGTTTTACAAGTGCCCTCAATCCATTTTACATTCAAACAAAACTTCATAATTCATGCTGAGCTTAGATGACAACAGTCTAGAGATAGCTTCTCTATTTAGTGTATCCTTGTTGCTTACGAAATTCATTTTCGAATGATTCATTGTGTCATGATTACTACTATTCACTTAAACCACATGATTTATAAAATTGATGATTGGTATTTTATCTTCTAGGTCAAATATACGAATTTTTTTTGTCCATTCGAATGATTACAAATTATATACTAATACACAAATAGAAACACACACTAATTATACCAGTATAGTGATTGTTTTGTTGTCGTTGTTGATTTGTTTATTTTTTTTCGTTTTCAACACTTTCTTTTCGATTCGTTCGCACTTTATTGGGTTTTTTTTTACGGTGGGTCTATTCGAAATCCGATAGTCTGGGTTAGTTACTCAAATTATTTCTTTCTGGAGTAATACAATTGTAGTGTGGAATATTATTATTATTATTATTATTATTATTATTATTATTACTGTCACTAGCCGAAAGGCATAACAATAATTCGTCAAGTGTACAACAACCAATAATCAATAAACTAGTGAGTTTATTTATTCAATTAGATTGATAGTTCTTGTTATTTCCCCATAAAATTTATTTTAATATTATTCGACATACAATAATAGTTTAGATAAAGAAATCAGAGAAAAAAATATGCGTAATGGTCAAGGAAAAGAAGTTGCATCAACAAGTGTAATGATTAAAAAATATGTGAAATTAGATCCAGATGATGACTTCAGTTCACAAACATTAATTAAACGACATGGTGAACAACTAAAAAATAAACATAAATCTTCAAAATGGTGTCGATTACATATAACAAATGATGAATTATGGTTATCTGGTGCTTATTGGTGGCCTAATTCCATATTGAATGGTATTCATTTAAGTGAAATCAATTGTTTAGTAAAATTTTATTCAACACCTAATCTATTAGCTTTGGGTATAGCTTCACGTTTATATGAATCTGAAAAACAATATGTTATACTCTGTACAAAAAGTGGTTCAGATCGTGAACAATTAGTGAAAACTTTAACTACACTTTGTGGAAATCGATATACACAATCAGAAAGAAGTTTTAATGTTCCAATTGTTGGACCTACTGTTAACATAGTTGAAATTTCATTATCACCCGATTTAAAAAAGCCAGTTCCTGTAGGAAAATCAATAGAAATTAATCATGAGCCTAGTATACAACCAGTATCATGTAATAATCCTGAAACATATATAAAAGAAACGACAATCAAAATTGAAAGACATCCTTCACCTAATCATATATCAACAGCACCGATTTCACCTGAACATATAACTACTAATGTGACTGTTCCTGCTAATAATACTACTGCTACTACTTGTACTACTATTGATAATAATTACAATGATGCTGTCAATAACTATGATGTTCACCATAATGACTGTGATACTATCAATGCACCATGTACCATATCACCATCACAAAAACCATGTCGAGAAATTCAATGGATTTCAAATGATAACATAGGACCATATCGTTTGAAACGTTTTATGGCACCTTATTGTGAAGGATTAGAGTCTGGTTTAAATCCGAAAGATTTAATACATGTTTATTATGATCCAAAACAAGGGAATGTTATTTCACCAGATGGACCAATTTATTTATATTGTGTCAATTGTCCTACTGAATGAAAAACAAACGAATTATTTCAAAATGAAGACAATCTATGATTATTTTTACCATCACTATTACTACTACTGATCACTACTTTCTATTAGTCATTGTAATGACACCAATTAGAGATCGACACTTATTCCAAATGTAGACGAAAATCATTATTCAAACAAACTATCAAAGCCTTTTGTTCCCAATGGGAATTTGTTTATTTTTTTTACAAACAGAATGTAATATTTGCCTGTTTACCTCATTATGTAATTATATTATTTTAAAAATAGCAACATCCTTAGAGAACACTAACCAAGAGAAACCATGACTAATATTAGTAAAACTAGAAGTTAGAGTGGGGGTGAAATTTATCTATTATTTTAATGAAAAAAGTGTTATAAATAAAGAGTCTGTTACATTTTATTTCTACAAATGTAAACTGGTTGCTGTGATTACAATTTACAGTTTTTACATTCATTATTTATAATAAAGAGTATTAAACAGCTTTGTAATAATAATAATAATAATAATAATAATAATAATAATAATAATTTGATGAGTTTCTACGCTAAGTAATTTCCATGGGAAGATACTTTTGACTAGTCTTATAGAAAATACTTATGATATTATATATGTTATCAAAATTTCAGATATTATACCCTTGACAAAACTCTAACTTTCAGATCGAGAGGTTGTACTATCATAATTCTATTCATCGTTATACTTCCAGAATAAAGATTATCCCATTGCAGTTTTTAGACAGAAACTATGAAGCTCTGATTTACAGTAGTCTGTTACATACTACCAATAAGTATATACTTTTGTGTACTATCAGAGAGAGATAATTGTTATATGATAGTAAGTTAAAACCGTTTTGTATTCGTTGGATTAAAAGCAGCCTACAGAAAGCCTTATAGTCAGTTTTCTTACTGAATGATATTCGTCAAAATGGCGTTATTCCTTAGAAAGATTCAAATCGATTCCATAAAATTCCCTCATTAAAGACATAACCATGAGCTATTCGAATTACATTCTAAAGGTGATTAGTATAAATGGAACAGTAATAAGAGCTGGACGATATGATATGGTATATTTATTCATCAAACAATTAATATCAGGATCTTCTTTCCGATAAAGCATTTATTAAACAATAAGCTTAAATATAATGTTTGACATTCATCATATAAAGTAAATAAGTGGGTTATATGAATTTGAAGTTGAGATTTCGTAGTACAGTGAAATAAGTTGCAACTACCAGAAATCACGAAAGGTTATTAATCGTTCTAATTTGGAAAAATATGAAGTAATCTGCGTGTTTAAATCGTCCAAGCCATTTTTGGACTAAGACATTTAGTGCATAATTAATGACACTTTATTATTTGTTCATAATAGACTGAACACGGATTTGAGTTCAAAATTCAAAATTCTCAGAAAAGAAAACTTAACACTCCTTCATCTGGTTTGTATTACCGTTGATCAAATAGTTAATTAATTATTAATATAATATTTCATAGGTATTTACTGTAATCTATGTATTTAAACAAAACTTCCAGATGACGTAACTAAAGAAAAGTATACATATAATTAATGATGTACTTAGTAACAGTTCCATTATACAGTTATTTATGGTACAGAATGCTTATTAAAGAATTTATTCGTTTCAATACTGAGTTTCAAAACGTTTTTAATATATATCTCAATAGTAACTTATCGATGATAACATCATTTTTAGAAACTACCATTGTAAACATTCTAAATCAATTTTTCTTCGTTTAACCCGATAAATTAACTTCTATTGATCAATAGAATCTTAATCAACTCTATTAAAGGTAAACCTATTGTAAATGTTACTCAATCGTCAATATGTCTTATAATTAATATTTTTTTTGTGAACTCATATTATGAAAACATAAAATAGGTTGTGGAAATTAGCTTTAACTAATTAAATCGTAGTATTATATTCACTTGAACTAACATCCTAAAGGTAAGCTAATAGAATTAGCTCCTTTTAAGTTACGTTTTAATTATTGTACAATGTAAATATACATAATTGTTACATATTGACGAAAACCCGATGAATTGATAGAAAAACTCCTAGTAGTAGTATGCAATACTTTTATCACAATAAATCTCTAATCCAATTCAAACCGATAATGATACAATGTGTAATGCTCAGATATAGGAAATTTTGTAGTGTCTTTACAAATCACCTACTAAATATATGAGTTTTAGAGCTTCAGATTCAAGTATCTAGAATTTTCGAAATAATGATATGAAAAGTAATTTTAGGATGGTTCTGGTTGATTGTTTAAAAAGTACTACATTTCCTAATAGCTATGTTGATTAGTATATGGGTTTTTCTGTAGGTATAGCGTTCATCCTAAGCTTTAGATTTATACACCTCTCCGTTTACTTCTGTATGAATAACAAGGGTTTACTACTAGTCACTATATAATAAAAGTATAGTCTAAAAGGAGTTTTTGAAAGTAGATTAACTGTGGTGAATTGATAAGAACCAGAACCGACTAAAGAATATTGATTATTTACATACCTAAATGTAACTAAACTAATCGAATAATCGTTTGAAAGGATAGAGTATACTGTTGTGTAATCACTCAAAATTGGCTCAAATATTACTCTTATTTTTAGATGTTATCCCCTCTAATCTCAAAATTATTTATAAATAAACTCAATATAATGAGAGTTGTAGTTTCAAACACACGTTTCACTGACGAATTGTCTGAATACTTCCTATTACTTAACTTCAATAATTTAAATAAATGTTAATTCAGTGTTTATTTTCCAATTTATTGACCTACTTCTTATCAAATCTGGGATACAGGCACACCCAGATTATGAGTCTCAAGCAGGACGAAATGCGCCTCCTGGATTCCACAGCTAGCTACCATCCGTCTCTGTTCACAAGCGCTTGTTATTCTTATCGCAACTAGTACACCTGTCATCATGATATCAATTTGTGCTTTTTATTTATTGTTTATTTATGTAATCTATTCCACTGCTATCACTGACGCGCAAACTGCCTTGACAAATTCGTATATGCATGTGAATATTACTGTATGATACAATTAAGTCTGATGCGGATTTCGATGTAAACAATATTACTCGCTTGTATATGTTGCTCTAATTTATAGTTTGGAAATTTTAAAAATGATATAATTTTATAGTTTGCTTAGATAGATGACTTGAAGGTAGTGTTCATCACAGAGTGGTATTAGTTGAAAACCTTTGAAAATAAGGTAATGATAAGCAGTTCTTCATTTATAGTTTGAATTTTCACAAGAACTCCGAACTTTAGGTCTTGTGACATGACTAACACCATTTAACTGAAATTCAATATTGCGTACATTCAACTTTATTAACACAGTCATCCTCTATATGGGCAATCTCTTAAATAAGAAACTGTTGTTATTCGGGTTACAAAACTCCAATCCACTGTAATTTCCAAATATTCACCAGAACCAGAAATAAGTTTTGAAGAATAATGTTAACAGGAAATCATGAAGAGTTTACGATAATAATATAATGGTTTATTCATTTTTACAACAGAATTTTGATCTAAATTCTGTCATTAGTAGATTTCTAAATTACCAAACGCACTCGTCAATAGTTTTACAACTGTCAGAAGTTCATATTTCACCTGGTGTTTCCACTGTCTATCTGATCTAGTAGTAAATAAGTTTCTTACAAAATAAAACTATTTAAAATATCTCTTAATGTTCTATATTACATTACAGTTTAGTAATCACCAGTTTCACAAATTAATCTGTACATATTACAGAGACGTTATATTTAAATATAATATACTACAACCATCTGCTATATTATTTTACCTCTACAACGAATGTTTAACACTATTGATGCCTACAGTTAATGTGCTGTAAACACTATAACATTAAAACCTGATCTCATTTTATACACTTATTGCATCATATGAAATTCTTAATCTTTCATTTGCCGAATACATACATTTTAATGGATTGCATCAATCAATCAATCTAATCAATAACTTTTACCTTGTAATCATAGCGTTTACAATAGTTTTAATAAAAGTAGTCAAAGTGGCAGTTAGTTAATGGTATTTCCTAATTCTAGAACAGATTTAGCACACAAATTTATTCAATGTTTTATATTGAGCCTACCGTTGTTTATCTCTTTCTTTCTTCATATATTTCTACAAGTCTGATTATTCATAACAAAAATATAATTATAAGGGATACAGATCAAATACACAGGTCAGTAACTAACATAACATTAGTATATGAATTATGTTTACCAAATTTTAAAAAAAATTGATTAGTTATTTGACAATCGATACCTTCGTATTAAAATTGAACTGAAATGTTAACCCTCTCTTTAACGTGCTATATACATTTATCCTGATTAGTATAAGTTTAAGCCTATGGACAGTTTTAAAAGTGAATTTATTTTAATATGCTTTTCATGTACTGTCTATTATTAGCTGATAAAGAGTTAAAACACTTAATTTCTTAACACTATGGTGTAAATAAGAACTTGGCTTTATTTACTTCGTATATTATCACTAACCCGTATACTGGCACTGTATTTCATAATCGAATACATGGATTTGTATTCGATAAATAAACAGGATTAAACTAACTAAAGATTTATAACAAAATAAGAAAATCCAAATATATTGAATCTAAAGCAATTAGTCCCTTTGATAAATTTCGATAATGTAATAAGAAGAAAAAGGTTATCAGAACTATGTGATATATTGGCGCAATATATTTCGAACAATCTGATCACATATATACTTGTTAAGAACATTTATATATAAAAATAAAAGGTCAACTAGACAGAAAACGGGGTAAGGGGAGACAAGGATAATAATAATAATAACAGCAATAATAATGTGAACACAGTTTGAAACCTAATCACTCCGGATAATAAGCGAATATCACCAGGGTAGGTTTAAGGTGAGAACAAACTGTTTTTGAATACACAAAGGGGGTTTGATGTTCAACTGTCTTTCATTTTCAACACAATTCCTACAGAAAGTGTAAGAAAAAAATGGTTGGTATAAAGTCAACTATGTGTATAATTATCAATCAAATCAGTTATAAGTGTTAAGTGCAACTGTCATAAAATTCGAGTTCTTTCAAATTCAACATAAATAAAGTCCACTTATTCTTGATGATAGTGATTTAAAATATGTCAGTGTAAAGCAAGTACACTTAACATCTAGTTAAATCAACTAGATTAAGTGGGAAAACAGTTTCCAAATCGTCATACTTCAAATTATTCATGCTGTAAGAAAATGGATATAATCCTTTGTTACATAGAGTTGTTTATTTTCAATTACTACATTCCTGTTGACTTACCATCTGAACTTAATTTATTAGTTTAGTAAATGGATTATATCTCTATCGGTTGTATCTAACGCTTAATGAATTCAAGTGTTAACAATATTTATTTATCTTAAATGTAAACATGACTCTTAATTCATCACATAACCAACTTCCTATAGGTGCAGCA